ATTTGGCGATTCATTCAGAAAAGGATTAATTTGTAAAGTGTTCTATAGTAACGTATTTCGAATTTCCATAACATTGCTACGAGAATGTTTGTTTATGCCTATCCCAAGGATGTCTATAACTGCCATTCAATTTTTTATACCGAACAGTACACAAACTAAAATCAAACTTAACCATCCTTGGCGTCTAACGAATTAATCTATTATTTTATTACCATCCATGCAACATTTTGCTATTCTTCTATACGTAGCGATTAATTAAACGTAGCAATTCATTAAACGTCTCGGGATAGGACATATTTAATTAAACGTGACTGTACGCCCGGCGAGTCGGGGATCCGTAGCTTTTCGAACACCGTGTACACGGTGGCAAGCATCGCGGCTTGTTCGTTACCTAGGTGTACGGTTTGCAGGGCATGTAAACCGCGTAGGTGTAAACCTGGGTGCCCGCGTGTTGGTGTAGGGCGGCCTCCGCTTCCTCGCGCGGAGGGACGCACATAGACCGAGAGCCGATAGAACATCTAGCCGAGGTATACAGGGTGAACCACGTAACTCGTCTCCACCCCGATTATCCCCGTCGTTAACTCGCTAATTTAATTTTTTCGGCTATCCCAGTCGAGAAAATTACTACGACTCTTGTTTTTGGCCATTCGAGTAGGCTCTCTTAGGTAAAATACCGCAAATTTTAGAGATAATAAGCAGGAGCAACGTGCAAATACTTGATTAAATGTGTACGAACAAATATTTAGATATAAATAGTACTGTCCCTACTTGATATCTTGAAAACCGTAATGGTAAACTATTTTCTTAAACGTATATAACAATATATTGGGATGTATATACATCAGTGATCATTAAACTATGGATTTTAAACATTTATTGTATAAACTAATATGATAAACACGTGCCAAACATAACCGAAAGGTACGTGCACTTATGTAAAATGAAGTGAAAATGTTATTATATTAATTGCAAAGTAAATTCAATATATATGATATATATTTTATGTAAAACGAAATAACAATATTATTCTATTAATTGCAGAATGAATTCAAGATATATCATATGTATTCTTTACATGTATTTTATGTTTCTCATGTTACTGTGCATGATAAATGCATAAAATATCCACAGTCTAATAATCAGTAGCAATCGTTGACGATACTCACCAATCGTCATCTGTAGTAGTCGTTCATTCTCGATTTCCAATCCTGAATTGTCGCCACTCCTCGACACCCAAAGATAACTCGTCATCAGTCGTCCTCAGAAGTCACCAATGATCATCAACTGGCATCAATCATCAATCGCTTCCTATAATCATAATCGATCGTCATTAATCTCCACTCCCCAATCGTAAATTGTCAATAGTTAATCGTCAATCGTCAAGCGTTAGCGTCAGTCGTCACGAATTGCAAATGGCCGTCCTATAATGAATATCTTCACAACTAAATATTCTTTGTTAAGACGAAATAGATTCACGTAGAATTACGTACCTACGGCACAACAGCTCGAGCTCGTCTGTCCTAACAGCCCAAGCAAGGTTACGGTAACATTGGACGATAATGTTCCGAGAAATGTTTACGACCGAGCAACTTGTACAAAAACAGCAGCTAATCCCGCGCACCGAGTGTTCCGAAAGTACCGCGTGAGTCAAGTCGTTGTTCCACTGCGTGTGGAAGAACATCCGTTTACAAAAACTACCGCGAAAATCGAAAGGTGTATCGAAATAACGATTCCATAACGAATATTGTCGTAACTAAGCATTTCTCGTTACGACTGAATAGATTTACCATAAAACTACGTACCTACGCGATAACAGCATTCGTTCGTCCGTTCATACAGCCAAAGTAAGGGTAGCGTACTGTTGAACGAAAGTTTTCTAAGAATTTTTTCGCGAACCGACGCCATGTCCCGAAGCTCGAAGGTACCGTGTGAGTCAAGTCGTGATCTCGCCCCCCCCGTGCGATAGAAAATACGTTTACGAAAAATGCCGCGAAATTCAAAGGGCGTATTGGACGGCGTGTTCGTTAACGTTGAAAATAATCAGGGTGAACGAGGCATATGGTTCAGCCTGTACTGGCGGCAGCAGGGGCTAGGTACTATCTAGTATCTAGTAATACCGGGTACTAGGTACGTACGCGCCGCGGACGCCAAATAGTGGTTCGCATATTCAGAGAGATAGCGACGTCGCTCGGTGCGATCGCCCCTGATTTAGGCCTCGTTCCCTCGCTACGTCTCACTCTCTCCTCGATGGTCACTATGCGTCTCCCGCTCTCTCTCTCGGTCTGTCCCTCTCGCTCCTCGTCCCTCCTCCTTTCCATCGCCCTCGGTCGTTCCATCTCCCAACGCGCGCCAACACACTCAAGACTCGGTGTACACGCGATCGTATACGTTCGTGCACGTATACAAAAGCACACACAGCTCTCTGGTCGCGTCCACGGATAACGTCCTCGATACGGCGACCAGCAGCGGGCGAGCACGACATCGAGGCGTCCCGAAAAGCGCTATCTCGCGGCACCCCGCTCGAAGCCGACCAATCACCGCTTCGATCCGCGCTTTCGACCGTCGCGCTTTGATCATGTACCCCGCGACTGATACCCACGAGCATCGTCTCGGCGTAAATCACGTCCGCTTTCGTCCTCTTCCGTGAACGTCGATCGGCCAGGGCGTTGGTTGGGGGCACAGACGAGTGGAACGAGGAATTATCTAACGGCGTGTACCACCCGAATTAACGTATTTTTCGTCCTTTAGTTCCCTGATCCGTACAATAGAGGAAATAACGCGGTCGAATTTCGCACTTTTTGGTTGCTGGCCAAGCGTTGCGAGGAATCTAGCTGTTGTCTAGATCAGTGGTTCTTAACCTATCCGAGACCACGGAATAGCTTACCCTAATGCTTTCGTTCGGTCTTATTCATCTAGCAATTATTGTGATTACGAGGGAGCTAGATGACGTATTAAGAAAGGTTAGAAATTGCCGCTTGTATCGCGAGCGTTGTTTTTCGAGTTAGAAATGATCGTCGCGATCGTCTACCAACAATATTAACCTAAACATCGATTTTGGATTGGGTTTAAGTGACAAAGAAATTCAATCTGGTTGGGAATAAGTACTTCGACAAATGTTAGGTTATGTAAATAAAAAAATGAATCTGAAGGGATGTTAATTAGTTAGGTTATGCATGATATCGTAGTCTTATCGAATCACAGCCTCAATTAAGAGCTCAGACTCGAGATCGTTCTATCTGCTTTAAATGGTTCCGTGGATCGGAAAAATCTTTGAGTCTTCTCCGCGGTAAATCAACTTTACTCCAGGGAAAGTAAGTTATACGCGAAATGTATGAAACTCCTACGATCCCTCGACCTGCAAACACACGCGAACGTTTCCAGTTGTTGTTTACATCGGCTATTTGGTTACGCCTGTCGTATTTATATATGCATGAATAAATTGTAAAAATGAAAAATTTTCGAAATTTCACCAAACTTTGTCTACGGTGCTTCGAATGTCCAGATATACTTGTTTCGTTTGAAACGCGTGCGAACAGTTACGCGCGCGCGTCCTATTTTAAAAACATCTGCAAACCGGTCACGCGAGTGGCCGGGAAAACTTGTACCGCGCGATTAAAAAGGAAATTACCGAAAACGTCTGTGGGTCTCGTAATTTCCCGGCAACGAGGCGCTAAATCCTATAGAGATGTATTTATCGCCGTGGCGCGTGTCGTATATCTCGGCGATATTCACGCCCGTAGACGACGGGCTTCGTCGAGGCTGTAAATTATCGTGCCAGGACGTAAGTTCATGGTTGAGAAACACTGAGCGCAGCTGCCGCGGTGGCGGTATCTCCACGTTGTCTGCTACCTCACACCCTCGTCTTGCGTCCCACGTGGGTGCCGGTCGAAGGGGTCGCGCGGAACGAGGGTGACGCGCGGGGCAAGCGAGGGACGGCCAGAGCGGCAAGAGGGAACAGGGGAGGCGGACGAGTGAGCACCGCCAATGGGCGAGGAAGCGGGACCGAGGGCGTCGGTGGGTAGGGGGAAGGAAGGGGTCGGCGATAGGGTAAGGTTAGTTGGGTGGACAGAGGGGGCGGAAGTGGGTGAAGGGGTCGAGGGATAGCCGCACCACCCACTGACCATCTCTGCCCTACCCTCTGGCCCAGGCTACGCGCTCCCGCAAAAAAGACTGCCCTCTCCTGTTCCAAGACACGAAAGGGCGAGGCGCCCTTTCGGCCGACTCGAATCACCTTCGGGGACCTTCTGGCGAAATTTGTCGAAAACAGGCGAGAACGTTCGAAAAACCGTGCGATCGTATTTCTTTGCCGCGACGCGACAGCTGACAGAACTCGACTCACCGTTGATAGCTCCTTTCCGTGGATTTAATAATCACGCGCGTCCTTTTGCGTTCCACTGATCCCCTTTCCTTTTGTTTGGTTGCCCACGTCTTTCTCTTTCTATACCGCTCGGTGATTCCCGTGGCACGATGCAGTAAATTCTACGCGTAGATCATAATACGGTGACGTAGGTCAGGGACCGAGAATACACACGAGCTGCCACGTGCTCGCCGGCATGTTTCACTGTGTACTCTTCTCGTATGGACGATTAGTAGCTATGTGTGCGACGTATTTACTCTTTGGTATTGTTATTATTATTACTTCTGCGTTTTCACGGGAAACTAACGGTAACCGGACATTCTTTCATAAATTACCGACGGTCGATGCGTCGATTACTACTTCCCAACCGTCGGTATCTCATCTGGAAAAGAAGAATAAACGTTAACGTTTTACCTACCGGAACTTCGTACACTTTTTGAGGTTATTTATGAATATCTACGTTTATTTAATTTTATATTCATGATATTGTTCCTGTTCGCAGCCTAAACAGTTGCGATCGCCAAGCTGGTTGCAGAAAGTACAAAAAGGTAATTGTTTCGAATGCGCGACATTTTTGGTAAGCTTGCTACTCGGAGAGGGATACAATGCATTCGTGGTAAGCGGTTATGCATCCAGAGAACAAACTATGCGCGATTTGACGAGAACGTCGTGCCCCTATTTAAAGCAACCAAAACAGTCCCCTGCATCGCCGGTACAGATTACCATTTCTGACAATAAGTACAAACTTGAACCGCCTACGGAATATAAGAGTCAATTTTTGGCTCGGTTAGAGGACGAAGAGGAAAAACTATTGCAAGAGAAATTGCGACGACAGGAAGAGGAACAGCAGAGATTAATCAAAGTAAATGATATTCGTTTCTACGACGTTTATATCGTTCCTCTGTGCACGTATAATTCTTGTTTGAGAAAAATTATTTTCGGCTTTAGGAATTAGAGCAGCCTCCGTTGGATAAATATTGGGGACACAGAGTACATGCTTGGGTAGCGATTTTACCAGAGTTGGGAGGACTGAGAGATCAAGAGATTTCTCGGCCACTTTTTATCGAACCTTCGACTGGTGTATCCTATAAACCAACGGCTGGTAACGCCGACGAGCTGTACTTGGGCGTAGAGAGTATATGGAACGATCAGAATTATTGGGTGAACATGCAGCCGTTCTCAAAATCGTGCGCAAACATAGTGTGGGATTTAGGAAAAGTCGAACTATGGGAGCATGTGTTACCAGGAGAACCGTGGACAATGCGTGGGGTAGGAGAAGCGATCGATGAGGATTCTGCTATACTACAAGAGAAGCATTTAGACATGCCTTTCTCCTATGTGGACAAAATAAACATTAACGACCAAGGTTCGTTGTATCGAGGGATTACTCTACTTTGAAACTTCGAATACGTTGTACAGTTCGATTCAAAATATTTCAGAATACGAAAAACGATATCCAAATGGTAGGAAAACGATATTTTATAAAAAATCAAAAGTTGAACTTTATGCACCATACATTCAAACGGACGGTCTGGTGCAAAGGATCACTCTGTTTGACGATTATCATTACGTGTCTTCTGTCGAGATTCAAGAGACTTATGCTAATAGATCGGACAATCTTGTAGAATCTAAAAGGAATTTAATCGATGAATCCGTTGTGGATTGTTATGAGAGGGGTCGGCCTGATCAATGCAAAGGTCTGATTGTTTCTCGATGTACGAACACTCCTAATCAGCTTCGTTTTTAATTTAACGATACATTCGCAGAGCATCAGTATTTGGAAAATGGTCCTAACACGGTGGACGCCAAAAGGAGCCTGATTTTTTATCACGTTGCTCGTTTTGATGGTCTGTCGCTACTCGAAATGGATCCGACTTACTTTACACAACATTTTATCGATCGCGATGATCTTTTGTACTATCGGTAGGTAATACATGTTAAAGTAAAGAATGACATACTCTTTAGACTTCAGAGACTGCCAGAATTCTTCTACAGATAAAAGTTTCGTGAAATCATGAAAGAGACAACTGTTTATATGCGTATCTACTAGGGTTATGATTAATCCCGCCAAATCTCGGCAACTAGGCGACTCGCACGCCGCCACTAGTCGTCTACAGTAACTAATCGTGTCGATAATTGTTGAATTATAATTTTATGAACATCATGTTATTGCTATGTAAATAAGAATTTCGATTGAGAACAGGCACGTGCAGTTTTCTCGAGAGAAGAGCGTCCCCATCCCGAACGATATACATTATCGATACATTTGGGTAATGGGAAATTTATTATCGTAATTGATACTTCCTCTACCTGTAGATAAACATACCAAACCGCGATATTCGAATTCCAGAAAATCATCGAAGAGTTTGATAGAAACGAAAGAATCAAAGCCAGTAAAGACATAGCGATTCGTGAATTCGCGATAGGAGATAACGAAATACGTCTCGCGTATCATTATAATACAGGACAGTATTCCAGAGCTACTAGAATGTACGTGAAACCACCTTTGGCAGAAAGGGGAGATCGATTGATTCTAAATCCTGCTATGACGCAAGGATACAACGTGAGCGTTTAAACAATGTTTACGAACAAATGTTACGAATAAACCTGCTCAAACTCGTACAATTTCATTTATTTCTACAGCCCTCGGATGAACCCGACAAAGCTCTCGATTTATTTTACGAACTAGAGACGCAACTCAAGGAGGAAGATCAATCTGTAACTCACGTTAGAAGTACCGAGGTTGAAGTATTCAATTTTTTGAAGACAAGGGACGACGAATATATGAAACCAAAGTTGTTGGTATCAGTTTTCAAGAAACACAGAGACGAGGAGTCGACGACAGATGTACTCATGGTATGGAAATAATAATTAACAAGTATACCTTCTCGGCTTTCACTGATTTAACACTCCCGATTGTTAAACGTAGAGTACCTGGGCACATGCACAGAGCGAAAGAGACATCACGGAAGACGCGGACTATTTGAAACCATATTTGGCGCGTATAGGAAATCCAGCAGAGATATCTAAAGATCAGGCTCAATTAATACAACACGAGTGTCTCAATGATTACAAACAACTGCTTGTGCAAAGAGCAAACAAAATTTTACGGAAATTCGACGCATATTCGCAAGAGTTGGAGAAAATGCAGACGTTACTAACGCAGGTGAAATTTTTTTTTTTTTTTTGTAAAATCAATCACCTTATTGCACGTATGTATTGTATAAAGTAATATTTCAATATTAAACTATTTGTACAGAGCGAAGATTTAACCCACGAAGAAGAAGAGAAAATATTAGAGAAAATGAACGAAATCAATTTCATGTTAATAACATTAGAGACCAGATTAAATCGTCATAGAGATTTAGTTCCAAAACGATACAGACAGTTAGTGAATCACTTGCAACAAAGTCCATATCTGGCGTCACTCCAAAAAACTACATGAAAGCAACAGGTAAGAAATCGATTGTTTCTAGTGATAATGATGGCGATATGAGAGAAGTCATACGCAACTCATATAAATACATTTATTGAAAAGACCATGAGCCCATTTGTCCGATACATCGACCTGAAACAATTTTCAATAATGAATATTTTCAATGCCTACTAAAAGGATAAACACGTTTTACGTCACTACCTTCGTCATCGAAAGTGGCCAATGTAAATTTACTAAGTTTATTTGTAAAACTTCCTGTGTTGCAACCTATCGAGTGATCAGATAAACGTTCGATGTTTGCAACATCACCATTAGCCCCGTGACGACGATGTTCTTCGGCGAAACCAGAAATCAACGTATCCATCATTATTGCCTGCGAATAGGATAACTTTATAATTTAATTCATTCCTGCAGCATCATCGTGCCATTAGAAATAAATCGTACTTGTCGTGAGAATACTTGTAGAATTTTATAAACTCGTGCTCCATTTTCTCGTACAGGAAATTGTAAGAATAGACAAGGTAGACAATCTAGATTACCCTCGTCGGAAGGCTTTGCCATTTCCCAACTCAGTTCTGAATATCTCAATCCCAGTAGTAAGCTCTATAAGAGAGAATTACGTTTAATTTATCGTTGTATGTAATAAGGAATTACTAGATAAACTCGTGTTCCTTACGCATTGCATATCGTCGACGATATAAACTCCTGATGAATTTATAGCTATAAGTACGTGCATATCGCGATTCGTGATCCATGACGCTAAACCTCTTACAGGACGTTCGATCTGCCCTTGAAAAAATGCTGCTCCGTAACATGGCAAACTCCAACAAAACTCCAAGTATTTTCTGATCAGTTTCCGTGAATTCGTATTAGTTCCCGTATGATTAGGTATTCGTTTGTACTGTTCGAGAAGGCGTGCCTCTGGTGCTCCTTTTCCTCCCACCAAACCTAATCCAAGGCCTAGTCCCAACAGCAAACTGGGAGAAGTGTAGTGATGCGGTAGAAACCGACCACGATGTCTTCTAAAGAATGCTAGAGTATGACTCTGAGGATTGTACGGGCCGAGTTCGATGCGTGCTTGAAGTGCTCCTAAGCTCGCGTATCGTGCTTGACCTTCGCACGGATAGCGTCCTAAAAATGTATATTAACGTACTATAAAAAATAATATAAATAGCTCGAATAAATCCTTATCTTACCCCATCTTACCTTGCAGTACATTATTCCTAGCTTCTGCATATAATAATTCTAGCACTTTAGCTTCCTTTATCTGTTCCTCATCCGATCGCGAAAGAAATACGTTCCTTCTGAGACATAATAAAGGTTCTTCATCAGTCTCTTCTATATCTGAACTATATTTTCTCACTAAGCGGTTCCACTTTGCTGCCAATTCTATAGGTTTGTGGCTTGAACGTAATTGAACTTCTAGTCTTGATGAGCAAAGCCATAGAGCAAACACTGTCTGTCCAGTTAGTAAAGGAGCTCTTGTTAGTCCTAGTTCTCCTTCAGTCTGTATTATTGCAAGAATTTGTTGGGCAGTAAAATTCTGTTCGATATCCATTGTTAGAAAAACTCCAGTCATTAAGTTTACAGCTATTCGAACTGTAGGTCTGCCTACGTTTAAATACTGTGGCTGATTGACCATCATTGCTGGACAAAATATGTCGCAATGAAACATAATCTTCAAGCATAATAGAATTGTTGAATAAATAATATTAATACTTACAAGTTGACACATGTCCATCAGATTTGTAATCATTTTGGTAACGACGAACTGGCTGTCTTCGAAGTGTACAATCCTCTTGCACTTCCATATCTTTTAATTTCTGTTTAAACACGTATGTTTGCTTACCATTGTACTTTTCTGAGATTCACTATTCAGGGATGTTTTCATTTGTATTGTCTGCTCTTACTACATATCGACACTAAATACACTGTCATTTTCAATAGAGTGTCATTGACCTCATAAGTAAAACAGAGTATTTCGTATAGTTATGTATACGCGATTAGAATCAAGAGAAAGGGGAGTCATTAAATAGTTTTGTTACAATAAATAGAAATTAATTTTTCCAGAGTACTAAATCAAAACACTGCTCTGCTGCCATCTAAACCCAGAGAACCAGTTATTGATTATTTCAGCTCAGTGGTACAACACATCTTCCCTTTGCAAGCATTTTTACTATTTTTTAATTGGAAAATATTTGTTCAATAATATCAAAACGTAATTTTTTGTATGTAATATATATGTATTACTATAATAGTGGTATAATAAATATTATATAAAACAATTTTATTAAGATTATGATCTAATTTTAGGTTCACATGATACAATATTAAACGTTTAGAAGGTACAAAGTAAGTATTTATTTCTCCGCTTGTCATTTATTCTTATATCTCTGTTAGAAGTTTGTTACATTCTACAATGTCGATCGACTGTCTTATCGATACTGTTACATTTCACAGTATTTTTAGAAACTGAAAACGTGTAAACGTGACTAACTTTACAATCTTTAAAAGCGATATACTCCTTTAAAAATATCACCTTTAAGAAATCTCTCATATCCTTTCCAACAAAAAAGATGCATGGAAAACATAATTTTGTGATATTAGAATAAAATTAACTTTTTCACATAAATTCTTATTTAATAAAATCGTGAATCTTAAGATTATATTAAATCCGCTACATTCATGGGCATCTCGTCAATTTGCGTTGAATAATATTGTTCTATATCTCGAAGAATCCTTATGTCGTCGGTTTTGACAAAATTAATAGAGACACCTTTCCTTCCGAAACGACCGGAACGGCCTATTCTATGAATGTATAACTCACGATTATTGGGCAGATCGTAATTGATTACAAGGGATACTTGTTGCACGTCTATTCCTCTCGCCCAGACATCGGTTGTGATCAAAACGCGACTGTAAACAAAATAAAATAAAATTACAAACATTGTATTTGTAACACTAAATACAGTCGTACATTTAAAGACATACCTTTGACCAGACCTAAACTCTTTCATTATGTTATCTCTTTCCTTTTGTGGCATATCACCATGCATAGAACAAACTGTGAAATTAGCCTCCCTCATTTTCTCAGTCAACCAATCTACTTTACGTTTAGTATTACAGAAAATTACAGCTTGTGTTATTGTCAGTGTATCATACAAATCACATAACGTATCAAACTTCCATTCTTCCCTTTCAACTGCTACAAAGAATTGCTTTATTCCTTCCAAAGTCAGTTCATCGCTGCAAAGAATAATAAGTTATTCCTGGTGTCTTAAATTAAAAAAATATTCAACTCACCGTTTGACAAGAATACGAATGGGATCAGTCATAAATTTACTTGTCATCTCAAGAATTTCATGTGGTAATGTTGCAGATACCAGTACAACTTGTGTTGCTGGAGGGAGGTATCTGTACACATCATAAATCTGTTCCTTGAAACCTTTATTTAACATTTCATCTGATTCATCAAGAACTAACATTTTTATGGCTCTAGTTCTGAGAACTCTTCTTTTTATCATGTCTAAAAATATCACAGAATTTATTGAACTTATTTATTTGTTCGTGTTAGCTTTATTAAATCTTCTATATTATCAAAAAATTTACCAAATACTCTGCCAGGTGTGCCGGATACAACATGTTGTCCATAATCTAGTTTTCTGATATCCTCTCCAAGATTAGTGCCTCCAATGCAGGCATGACACTGAACATTCATAAAATCTCCCAATGCCAGAATAACTTTCTGTATTTGTGTTGCCAATTCTCTGGTTGGAGATAATACTAATACTTGGGTTTCTCTGACTTGTGTATCCAAAGATTGTAATATAGCAATCGAGAACGTTGCAGTTTTTCCTGTACCAGACTGAGCTTGTGCGATTACATCTCGTCCTTTCATTATAGGTTTGATAGATCGCTGTTGAATAGCCGACGGTTTCTCGAAACCTATGATCAAGATGGTATTTATTCGATACCGTTATCCTTATTCACATTACGAGACACGTTACTCTAAGAATAAAAAGCGGGAGGTACGCGAATGGGTTATGTTTACATGCTAATATAAGATTGTTTATAATACCGTAAGCGTAAATCCCCCGCAACAATTCATCTCTGAGGCCCATATTATCAAACGTGGGGATGACTTCCACATCTTCACTGGTTTCGAATTCAACATTTGATAAATCTTCTGTTTGCGCGACGCGACGTGACTTTGCTTCCGCCATTTTCGCTAATAATGTCGGACGCAAATGATCTGACGTTAGTTAGACATCAAACAAGTTCGCCAACTTTGACAATGCAATTCCTGTTTGCCTGAAATATTTCTATTCATCAATTACCAAATTTGCAAATTACCAAGACGATGGTTTCTGGAAAGAAAACATCATTTGCAACGAAATTTCATTGGTCGGCTGTGTATCTCTGGCCAGGAATAAATTAATTTTAACTTTCCCTTTATAAATAAATAGTTGAACTTGTATCATTCCTATTGAATATGTATCTATTTTATTATCAAAACACAAAATCTCGCTGGATAAAGTATAAGAGAAAGTTACTACCAGTAACTTACTAGTTCCAGTAACTGCCACTAATAAGCGCTACCGGTTACATAGAAGATGATAGAGGAGAAAGCTTTTGCTTTGGTTAGTCCGCGGAAATTTCATTCCATTCCGTTCCATAACATTAATTAAGAGTTTAAATCTAAGGCTACAAGTAATATTACTTTTGACATTGCAATTAGGCCGCAATAGTTTTCGTCACAAAGAAAAATATGTTGATATATTTGTAAGAGCCATATTTGGATGAAAAAGTTGGGGTTAGGTTATGTGTCAGATTGTTTACAACTCGTACGAGAGCAAGCCGAAATGAATATTGACGTAGCATTGGACGAACCTTTGACAAGTGGTACTTGCGTGAAGCTTATAATTGAACTGTTAAAGTATATTTTATATCAGAAGCAACAAATACCATTTACGTATGATTCGTTGACTCAACTGCAAACGAACGTGAAGCCGACCGATAAAAATTCATCCTATATAAAGACATTGTTAAACTCCTTAAAATGTACGTCGGAACAGTTGAACTCACAATTTCATCTCGAAGGTTGCAACGTGAAAGAAATTGCTATACTTATTGGTGCTACAATAATATCACCAAAGCTGCACATTAGACTGGAATTTCCACCCAACATTCTTAGTAGCGAAGAACACCATGAGTGTAGACATACTTCTAGGAAACCTTTGTTAAGTCTAATGAGGTCAGTAAACATTTTGCACAATATTTTTTCTATTTTCGTTTATTACCAATGTAATGAAAGTGTTATAACAACATTTTTTTAGGTCAATGCTAGAATGTTCAGAATTTCAAGATGCAATAGCTTCACCATTGAATCCTACAAACACCTTTGTATTAGTACAAAAAAGTGATAGTAATAGTGTGTCTGATTTCTTTTTACCTAAGCCACAATATATACCTCCGATACGGAATTCAAATTGTTTCTTCATTAAGTTTCACCACAGTGAACAAATTAAAATAGACTGTAATTGTATAGATATAGTGAAAGTTTATAATGACTTATCTGAATCTAATATCAACAAAGATAGGGCTATTCAGTGTTTAAATAAATCAAATGGGAACGTTACAAATGTTCCTTATCAATGGTATCAATCCAGAGAAGTAATTAAAGGATTTAAATATGTAAGGTGACTGTTGATGGTTATAGGAAATTGAAAGAGAAGTATGCTCTCTTTTTTAAAATGAGATTTTAGACTAATTAAAGAAGATATATACTTTTTATTGAGAGAGTTAGAGGGAATAAATCAAGCATGTTAATCAATGTTTTTATAATAAATGCACATTTATAAAAAAAAGTACATAAACTATTCTTTTTTTTCGGTTTGGTTCTTGTTTGGAACTTCATAAATTTTTATTTTTAAAATTCTAAAGTCAACAACTGTTATTATTCTGAGAATTAATACCACTGCTCCTCCTATCCAACTCCACATCATTATACCTGAAAAAGTCTTGAAAGCATTTAATGTATAGCCTAACACATTATTATAAAAGTAAAATACTTGAATATTAAGAAAAAAGAACCTGCAGCCAGACAAGCACTTTACACGTGTTATGTTTATAAATGTTATAAGTCTCCACATATATATGTGCAATTTCACATTCACTGTAAACACATTTTACTTAAAACAATATTTATGAAATATAATAATTTTTGTTCCATACCTTTTATTCCTAGGTATTTCATAAATGTTGCTGATGTTGAGAAAAACATTTCTTACATCATTAGTAAACTCTTTATATCCATTCTTCAAGTCAAGGGTAGCATATGTTGTTATTATTGTAAATGTTAAATTAAAAAGCATAGCGTAAGGAACAATTCTCCATGGTGCTTGAAATCTATTCATTAATATAATATATATGGCTTTAAATTTCTAGTAACAATTAAGGACAAAAATTACAATTACTTACATTGCTATATCATATCCACCTTTTCCACAGATACAAAATAAAGTGAGCCACACAATTCCAAACATACAAGACAAAAAACATGTAATAAAATACACAATGCATTTATAATTGTAATTGTAACCGGTGATAATATAATTCCACCAGTCTGAAAAATCTGAATTCATTATGTCATTATCAACCGTGTCTTGTAATTGCGATTCTACTGGTAACATTGAAACAGATTTAGCCCAAAGTGGACAGTTGCCACTGAATGTTTGTTGCTTGAAATTTCGTTATAAAATAATTAAATTATCGTTTAAAATATCGGGACGAAGGAAATAGAAATATCGTTATTATTATACCCATATCAAGTAAAATAAAATACTGCATACGTAACCGCTAATTATGGATAGTAAATAAAAAAATATTTGTACAAGTTTCCACAAATAGGAAATATTGGCTGGATCGCGCTCGATAAACTCCTGATATTCTTCCAAAAGAGTCATCGGGAATGTTTACGTGGGGCAACCGTAGATTACAGCAGCGATGAAAAATATTACCCGCCAAACTTCATTTATGCCAAACGACACGAATCCGATTGGTCTATCGCAGGCGAACAAAATACAAACGTCACCGAGACGTATTTCAGGGGATTTATAAAATGACTTTTATTGCGCTAAAGGTATGATTAATGGAGAAATGGCATAGATCTGACAAGAGTATGTTCTAGTTGGTATTTAGAAGACGCGAGATGATCGATGTATTTCTATTGTCGATCGAAAATGAAGTTGCAGCTCGTTTTCTAACCGATGTAAGCATAATAGATTCGACGTAACTTGGACGCTTTGAAGGAAGTGTTGCAGACTGATCGTGGGAGTTGGACCAAGAAACGGAGGAACGCGCGGACCGCGAACCGCCACAGTGTTGTCGACGAGAAGGATACACGAAGGCGAGAAATTCTTGTTTTTTTTTCACATCCGAACATCGAAAATCACGAGGAAAACGATGGTGGACGCACGTTCTAAAGGGTCGTCGAACGAATAAACTCAATTGCAGTGGACACGTAAACCTTTCGTGGGTGAAGTGAAACACATGTGTCGGCCGAATCGTGTTTTCCACTATAGAGTGCCCGTCCCGTGTTTGGTCCGTGAATATCTCGCGCTTAGAAAGCCAAGTTACACACCAGTTACAATAATTCGCGGAAAATATAACGCGATTGGCTTCGAAGACATCTATTAACGTGATGAGCTGCTTCTTCGAGATGGAATAGAACTCGTCGCAGAAGGCGGCAGTGCGTGGGTGGGTGGGTGTCTAACGATTGCCACTCATGTATATCAAATTCCTTTTGGAATTTTGCACAAAATGTTGCTGACGGACCAATGATAATGCCCTTTTCGATTAAATATCGTTTCGTTTAATTGATATCTATTAATTGGCACGTTACACAAACAATTCTTTTTGGGCATAAGAAAAAATATTAGTTATATTTTAGAGCAACGCTGCTCTTCGCTGTCATTTTTTGGCTAATGTCAATTTGACAGTTTTAAACGAATGAAGCCAATATGATTGCATCTCTGTACTATTATCAACTTTGTTGATTCTGAAAGGAACCTGCACAATATCCTTGTTTTGACACTATTGTCAAGAAACTTTGTTTTTTTAACCAACTTGTTGTTTGGTTGCTTCACATATCTTCAATATCATCGAATTCCTTTATGAAAGATGCTTTCTCTACATTGTGAAGCAAGAGCACTGTAACAAGTCTCTGCCAATTATCGTTCACAGCTTAAGAGAAGGACCTTAGCAAGTCCTGCCTCTTTTCTTTAATCGACATTAAGAGGCTAAAGTATGAAAGGTCAAGCGGAGGAAAATGGATATCGGTAAAGTGTCAGCATGCGTGAGAAGTCAGCAGAATGTCATGCTCACGCAGGTCACGTGAGGGGCACAACAGAAATGTGCTCACGTGATCCTCCTACATTGCACTCAACCCTTACCAAGGCAAATGGTAAAAATTCAAGTCCCCAACCAACTCATCATTCGGAAACACGTATCGATAGCAATTTACTTCCAACACCTGGCGGACGGTTAAAATTTTTTAAAGATGGAAAATTTATTTTGGAACTGTCCCACCGTAGAGACGGAGAAAGAACTACGTGGTTTCCAGTTCCAAAGAAAACCTTTTGGCCACCTGCTAGCACAACTCCGAGTAGGCAGGAGAGTTCTACTTCTCTTAGCGGTAAGTTAAAAAATAATATTTTGCCGATAATTCGCTAACTTTAATGCTACTCTTATATTTGCAGTCTCTGATGATAATTCATCGGTTCAATCGAGTCCTTGGCAAAGAGATCATTGTTGGAAACAAGCTAATCCAAGACGTAGGATATCCACAGAGTTTAATTTTTATTACTATAGAAATCCCAGAAATCGTCTGTGTGCACATCCTGGGTTAATCGCGAGAAAGCGTAGACGTCCATTAGATTCCACTTCACACCTACTTGTTCCAGAATCAATAACAAATTATACCAAGCCGACACGCAAAGCGAATGGTACATCGACGGGAAAAGTTTTAAATTTAATCATCGACAAATTAGCACGCCTTCTAGATCCTAATGTTGTTTCACCTCGAAAACGCATTTTGCGCGAATTGGAGAGAGTATCGTTAGAAGACCAGGCATCCAAAAGACGCGCAACGCCGCAGCCTGTTTGTACGACAAGTGCTTCGACTCCTTCGCCAAAACAATTATCGTCGTACAGTATAACGAGTATCTTAGGAGAAGATAAACCAAGTCATGAGCAGGGCTTTTTGAGAAATTTATTGAAGCCAGATGACAGACAAACTGTGAAATACTCATCAAGTAATTCGTATCCGAGGGTACGAGTGGATCCATACATTGGTACTACAAATACGCCTCTTCAGCATCCACTTTACGGTGTACCGATGTTACCACCTGGACCATATAGAGCACCCTTATGGATGCATTATCCATCACCCGTCCATTATCCACCTCCTATGCCATTGTACGCACCACCGCCACCTCATCCTCCATCACCTCCAGTTCATCATTACAAAGACTACAGGGAACAAACTCTCACACCTCCTTCAGGTACGTACTCGAAAACATATCCTTGGTTCGCGATATATCGTAAACGCTACTAATTTCCATTGCTTCGTTTCTAGATATGCCTCTAAATCTGTCAAAGCATGCGGGTTGAATCTCAGGATCCTAAAAGCTGGTGCCTTATCAATGGACAAAACTGCGCAAACACTGCCCGTGCATCGACAATGCGATATATTAGTATTTTTTTATCCATAAACAATAGTATCATAGTAAGTAGAAATATGCAACCAGTGGGACGAAGTCTGGGTGCTATACTTGTACATACAAATGCATAAACTGTCAAGAGTTGGCATAGGTATTTTATATTAATATTAAATTAAATCATGAGTAGTATTACGGAATTTTAATGTAATTAATATTATGTATGTATTACATACTCGTTCAATTTTAGATATGCTCACTGCTTTTTATTCGATTAGAAAAGGAATACTTGGCAATTCGACTGTTTTAAACGCACGAATATGTTCACGTTTTAAGATGGTTGAATTTATTTTATATTTCGATTATTCTTACTACTCATGATTCGGATACTACAATGAAAGAAAAGGAGCATGTTCTCGTCTTATGCATCTCATTTATGCATTATCTTGTTATTCTTATTAATGTTACTGTCATTATTATCATTAATAAATGATACGACTATCCATTTTAAAAGATTCATAAGAAAGACATAGAATTATGTACAGAACAGATTATTACCTATATTTAGTATAAATAATTATTCCTACGAAAAGTAATATGATAATAAATTTAGGTTAATAGTATCCACAACAGTATACATTTATTTATATTATATTAATAAACAAAACAAAATTGCTTGGTAAAGACCGTGGGGTGTGCCTTAAATGATCGTCTAAATTGCAAAAAATTAAATTATGAACATTTTCACGGATATGTATTACTATTACTACCACTATACTACTATTACTATGTACATATGAATATAACTTTGCGTTATGTATTTGCATCAAATCGACATATTCGTCACTATTTATTATTAGTCAGGCGCATTACCAAACATTTTACGCGAAAGGCAAGCTCACACAGGCTCTACAAACTAGTGAGTAATTTTAATTATTCATTTACATAAACTTTTTTTATTAATTGAAACAGATGAAATATGTGACTGTGCGCAAGCAATTGTATAGAAAGACTAATTTCGTAAATATATAAATATTTCATATACTAAACAAGAGATCTTCATTTATTGTCTTTTATCGTAAGTGTATGTAAATTCGAAGAAAATCTGTAGTTCTGTGATCCTTGTAACGTCTCTCCTCCACACGAATCCATAAAAATTAAAAAAAATGGTAAAAAGACTTTAATGTAACAAATAGAGAGGAATAGTCTAAATATATCGATGTGTATTTTTATTAAATTTTACGATTTTTGAATGACGCCCAGAGTACGCGTAAGAACAATATTTAATTCGAATAAGTCGAAAAAATAGCTTGGAACTTGTGTACGGTATTTTGCCGCTCTACGGCCATTGCTCGACTTGTCTCTGCTTCACAGTGCCGTAGCTATTTGCAATCGATGAAATGCTATCGTAGATATCGAAAAGTGTATATCTCGATCTCTTTTATCGAAGAAATTTTCGTTGAATATACGATATATGTACTCGGTGCATATCGTAAATTGAGTGAAATATTATCATTTGTTGAACGATGCAATGTTCGTAAGAAAAATCGAAAAGAAGTATTTAAATTTCGCGGTCGATTTGCGAATGCGCCGAAAAATTGGCACTCCATCGTGTCTGGTTATCCCCACTTCTCGATAGGGTACGCAGACGCTCTCGAGACCGCGCAATCGTCGTCTTGGTAGTATCCGATTCGTGGCCTTGTTTTGTGGTATTCGTTGACCGGGTTGTAACGTTCCGATCGCGCCGTTTTCTACCGAAAATTCGTAAAAGTAGGTTCTCGCGTTTCCGCCGTAACGAACGAACGATCGCGTAAAAATCGTGATCGTATGTCTCAGTGGAGTTTCGAATGCACGCGGGTTTGGAGGAAAGCGAGCGAACCGAGCTCCGGTAGAGGGGAGCAGGCAGTTTTGCCTGGTCGTATATGTAGCCCGCTCGGCAAAATGAAAATGGCGGTGTTCCCGTATGAACGGTGCAACGGCCACTGACGATGTTCGTCACGGTAACGGACACGTGAGCCGAATCGAGTGTGGGACTTTCACGCGTCTTGTATGCATACACGAGGATCGTTCAGTGTCACATTATAGGCGGGAACGGGTCGGTGCGAGCACGATATATAGGATAGCAAGCGCGATACTTTTTTTTTTTTTCGTCGATCGAGGGACAAACAAACACGATGGAGTGATACCGCGAAGTGTTGACTCCGCGGACAAGTGGGGAAGTGTCGGCTAATAAATTCGTGTAGTTGGAGGACAAAAAGCCTTCATGCCGATGCCGGCCGAATACCACGAGAACCACGGTAACCACGAGAACGCTAATTTCGCTCTCGGGGCCACACAGGACGCCAGCAACATGACGGCCAACATGTACCGGGTGGGAGGTAAAGTAACCGCATACACATTCCGCCGGCTGATGGCCACGCGTCGAGTCTCGGACGCAGCTTTAATTAACCCCGAGAAATTAATGTTTGCAAATGGTGATCGCGATGGCGTCCCCTGTATCTACGTTTTACCCGCGCTCGGCCCCTCGACTTTCCTCTCTTCATCTGGATCTCCCGTCTTCCTCCCCGCTCTCTCTTATATAGCGTCCTATAGTCTGCTTTCCTTCTACTCCCTCTTACCCCACTCTCGCGCCCTTCGTCCAGGTCATGCTAATTTTTTACACGATGAATCCCAATCATTAAAATTCGATATTACGTTTCCCTTCGATTTTTTGTTTGTCGATCACGAGTCATGTTCTTTTTTTTTTTTTTCATTCTTTTCACTTTCGTGCCAATGATCCATAGAGTCATTTATTTATATCGAATAATATTTCTCATTCCCCCCATATTACACCGACATCGAAAAGGATATTTAATTCTCTAGCGTCCTTTCTACGCACGCTCGACTATTAAAAAAAATTCACGAATTCGCTATTTAATTATTATTAGTTAATAATAATGCTGTATTTTTATTTTGCAATGCCTGCCAGCTTTCGATACGTAGTTTATGAAACTTTCCGATATTTTCTCTCATGTCGTATGTATCTCTCGTAGTAGCGATATCATTATTTACATATTCATGCGAAATGTGTATACATATATGTATATATAAATAAATATATATATATATCACATCGAAACGTTGCCTCAAAGTAATACCACTTATTTATAGTAATCAAATTTTCTTTTACTGAATTATAAATATACTACCGCGTGTATATACATACACACATATATATATATATATATATACATACACGCGGTAGTATATATATATATATATATATATATACGCGTACGCGCGTATTGATATTATTGATGCATTGCATTTACAGTATAATTAAACAGATTTCTCATCTAACTTAAAAGTTCGCTAAATAAATAATTCCTTTTTTAATTTGTAGATTACGTATATTTCGAAACATCTTCCACATCTCCCTACCAGATTAGAAGGATAGAAGAATTGAACAAGGTAAGAATATATTTCTTTGAATTGAACTAAATAAAAATTCTGCAATGTTCCATAATTTGAAATTCGAGTCTTTATCAAGTCCAAATGTATTTACATTTTATGTCATACATTACATCATGTTCTCGTGGTTTTTCCATAAATACATCTAATTTGTCATTTTAGACGGCAAGTGGAAATGTTGAAGCAAAAGTCATGTGCTTCTTCAGGCGGAGGGATTTACCATCTACATTAATCATGCTTGCAGATAAACATCAATGTAAGTGAAATTTATATTGTTGTACAAACTATGGTCCTCATACTTTATCTATAAAATATTACAACCGTTCAATCCTTTATTGGAAGTATCACGGTATTTGCTTGTTATCAATTTTGCTAATGAACAAATACTCGAGAAACTTTATTTTACATGGTTCTTTGAGATTTGAACATTTTTTTCTTTTTTTTTTTTTTTTTTTAAATAAAAGAACATCCATTTCATTAGAAGAAATTTATGAGACCCGATACTTTGACCATCTACCTGGAAACAGTAATGTTTAGGCGATTGAATAGTAATATTAATGTATTGTACATACGAGAGTAATGTCATTTATGTTGCTTCGCGTTACGGTACGAGATCGATAGTCATCTACAGATGAAGAAAACTGAAACGTTCCTCTCGTATAGCGCGAAAGATCACCTTAGTACCTCAATTTTTTACGAACTCGGCCGATGTTGTTTCACGTTGCATACACGCAAACCGACCAACAATGAAAAATTCGAAAAAAAAAAAAAAAAAAAAAAGTTCGCTACATGCAACGACCCGCGACCGTTACCGTTTATGAAATGCGTTCCGATCGTTTCTGTGCGCTATTCTTCGCATTGCTCGAACGTAAATCATTAAAAAATGGTCCAAGCGAAATCGCAAATTAGCCACGCTAACAGCGAGCATTCGCTCTTAAAAAAAAATGTTTGATGTTGCACGGATAAAAATGCAATTTTACCGATCCATTACTTGATTTTTCAACGTTCCGGTACATATATACAACACTCGAATAGAAGTTCAAAGACCTCGGTGCCAGGATAAACTTGCGTTCGCGTGAAAGGCGACACACTTCAATATGTTTCATCACGTACAGAAAAATAACGCATCTCTCGGTAAAAAGTTGGCTCGGTTTTACATATCTCGTTGTATATACATTTATATAGATATATGTATACGTGTATTGTGGATATATTTACACGTCCGTATAGATATGTACGTATAGTACATAGATGTGTGCGAGGGCACATGTACGTGTGCTGCGAACCTTTCTCGATTTTTCCTTTGCAGTGGCAAAGATAATGAGACGCGGGGATTTGGGGGTGGGAATGTATAATAAGTAAAGTTGGGGGTGGCAGAGGGGTGGAACGGGGGTTGTATCGATCTGCAGGGGGTGGGTCGGGGGTGGTGCACCCGCTAGCCCACCACCTCCTCCACCTCTTTCTACCTCTCTCGCCCGAGTACCCCACACCACCCCACCCCACCTTGCCTCCCGCCACCCTGAACTAAATGAATGACTGACGCAGGGGTTGGTCGGGTATGTGTGTTACGTGTACTCGGACACAGACCCGTAAGAACACCGATAGAACGTACACGATAACCGAGCACATAGTCATATACGAATAACGGGCAGAGAGAAAACAGGAACGCACACATACGCGTGTGTGCCTGGGCGAAAATGGTGTGGGGCCCACTAGCCATCTTCGTTTTAAGCATTTACTCTCCCCCGCTTCTCTTTCCCTCCCTTCTCTTCTTTTACCGTGTATATATGTACGGTACGTACGTACGTGTACGCGAATGCACGCTCTACCGTTCTGTTTCTCTCTGCTCGTGGCTCTATGTCCGTCCGCCGGTATTTGCTTCGAATCGGGTTCTCTCCCCTTCCTCTACCATTTCTGTACTTTGCTCTTCTGTACCTCGAATTTCACGAAAAAAATTGTACGAATCTTTGTCTTGTCGGGTGTCTACATTTTTACGCGTCGAATGTATGAACAAAGTTTACACCAAGAACATATTCTAGGTATCGCATGTTGCCCCCCGGATCTTTTTCTTATCTTACCTTCTCGTTAACGACGATTTCAAGTTTGACAAAAAATCTGTAACGAGAACGTTTGGATTGTACTCGTCATTTTAGAGAGTAGGGTAGAGTAGGGGGGAGGGGGCTTTTAAACATCATCCACTCGACGATTCACTAAAAAGGGTTTTTCCTTTGCAAGAGTAATGCACAACTACTGTTGCAATCGATATCATTTTCACTGTATAATATGGTGTACTCTGTGCTGTTTCTCATATACCCATCGCAAATGATACAAATACGTATATTAATGTAGTATAAATAAGTGAATGAAAAAAAAAAAAAAAAAAAGACGAATATCTTAACAAATTAATATAATTATAAATGTCATCGATATATGTATACAACGTATTCGAATAACGAACAAGGTTGTCGACAGTGATTTAAATATTACACGTCTGAACCACGCAAGTATAATGCAGTTGTAAATAGAAACGTGTCTGGAATTTGTTGACAGAATCAAAATTGTTGTTTATACCATTCCGTAATCAGAAATTATAATCAATAAT